AGGCCCTGGTTTGCATGATGATGTTCAACTACAAATGCCGCAAGAATTGTACTGCCGTATTCCAGTCTTTTCTTAGCAATTATGCAAATTGGCCTTCATTTGCATGAACATGACATTGATACTTCGTTTCACTGGTCGACAGGAATTCTGCTGCTGGCGACGCTGTTTCTGGTGGCGATTGTCCGGTCTGTCTCCGCCTTGCCGGCCGGGGGATCCCCACTGAGGGACCGAAGGCCTCGCTTCGTGCACTACGCAGACTCCGACAGTCACTACCATCCATGTGGGAGTAGAGGGTTCAGGAGAGACCTTCAACTGACCGCGAAAACTATCATTCAGACCAACGATACTCTGACAATGATGGTAAGCAACCGTTACAATATAGCATAGCGTAACTTCGTGTTATTTTAAAGCGATTTCGCATTCAGGACTGGATTTTCCTGTTCGAGTCAGGTCATTCTTTTAAGGTAGTAAGTTCAATCAATCAATTTCCATACGTTGTTTACTTACCTTTATTATTGTTATTATTAGTAATTATGCTCTTAATTGTAAAGGAGCGGGACACGAATATAAGCCTGCAGCACATTCATTCTGTATAGGTTATTTATTCTACATTCTCTTTTAATCGTGTATTATATTTAATTTCTGTATTGTTTTTATATGCATGTGCAATTGAAAATAAACAAATCTTGCCTCTTAGCATACTGATACCTGTGAAAATGCGATGTCGCTGGTGGAAATGATTTCTTGTTTATATCACAAACTGGTTCCAGCTTTTTATGGGTAAAAATCGTTTTGCCGCCACAGCATATCACGACTATTTGTTGTGCTTTCTTTTTACAGAAAGAGGACGCCTTCATGTCTGGTGTTCCGACCCCCTCCGTTGTCATCGAGGTTAGCCATTGTTTTGCCTTAACAAATTGAAATTTGTCACATCATTTATTGATTCAGGAACAGTGGAAATGTTTCCTACATCTCTGTTCTCAATATGAACTGTTCATAGTGAAATATTATGTATTACCCAGGAGGGCAGTGGTCTGGTTTCGCTGTTCCACAACCTCAGCAGTTACGAGCTGACCATCCCAACTATCGTCCTGCACAGCTACAGCGCCACCATGCGGCAATCGATGCACGACACCGCCAGTGACCTGAACAAGCTGCTGTTCAAACTACGCTTTACGGTAAGAAACCACGGATATCTTTCGCGATGAAAAACAGTAAGTTGAACGTGTAATGTACAGCTTCGACTTTTCTTTCATCATTGCTTTTGACGAGTCTGTCCTCGGTTTCCTGAACTGCAGTTTCTATTTGTTCTGCCAGAGGGCGCTTACTTAGATGATCTGATTGATTTGATTGATTGGAATTGTAACAATTCAATACACGTGGGACACAGGCGGCTATTGCTGGTGTAGTGACCCACACCAAATATTACAGAACACATAGCAAGACATATATGGAATAGAATTTAGTCTCCACAAATCACAAACTTGGGGGAGAAAACCCGCACCATATTCATGTATTCCTGACAAGAAAAGTTATCTGTCACCACAACGTCAAGACCATAGCATGTTCAGGACAAAAGATACAGAAACCAGAAGTTCTGCTGCAGTACCAAGGTCAGCCACCAGGAGGCCTCTTGTCAAGGTCAAATATGTGCGGAAACACACACACACCAAAATTATTCACTTTTTCATGGAGGTAACAAAACAATAAATTTGATCTGAAGCCTGCGTCTTTACTTGCCTTTTATCTGTTGAATGACGTACCTTTCTTCCCCTAGTTGCGTGCGGCTGGAGAGTTGGGTGACCAGGGTTGGACGGTGGAGCCTGTTCCTCTCCTAGACGCGGGGGACAGCGATTACCAGCACTACCGTCGAGACTTCACCTTTTTCCAACAGCTTTTCCAAATCCTCGAACTGCTGAAAGCTGAACTGGAGGCCAGGCTGGCCGAATGTTAAAAGTATGAAGATATTCCACACTGTTGTATATGATAGTATACGTATACAATCATGAAGTGTCGTCAGTATCTGATTTCCAAGATTTTCAAGATTTATAAGAAGTAAATACCAATGGTATTCTAACCTGTTCAAGTGAAAACTGATAGTCTTTTCTGTAAACTATTGTCAGGATACATAATATTTATCTATTTATAGTACATTTATATATATAGAAAGAGAGACTATAAGTCATCAAAATATAATTCAGATTGTATTTTAAACGATAGGATATGATTATCTAATTTTCAATATGATGCATATGGTATGATGCATAATCATAGATTAGAACCATCAGCGATTATTAGATATCTAATTAGGAACATCAAATATATCTATAAAATAGATATATAAACTAGATATTTCTTTACCCGTTTTATCTTTCTTCCTCTTGATATTTCATTGTGTCTATTACATATTAGAGTCTGTCTGGATAGATATCTGCAATGTTATAATAAAGCAAGATTTGCATCAGGTTTGTAACAGTGGAAATAAAACTTATGCAGAAATGCTCACATGTTGTTGTTACTATTCCTTGTTGCTGTGTTAGAAGTAGAATGTAGACAGCATTGCACACAATGAAGAAACAAGTTGGAAAAGGAATAATGGGGATAAATTAAACTACTAGAACTGCAGTGCTTTTTTCGCCGCTATGGGGCGCTTTTGATATGTGACGATAGTAATCAATGTATTGGCTAAGCTGTTCCTAGACCTGAAGCGATTTTTCTGGCCATTACGGGGCGCTTTTGATCCATGGTGTGGTGATCTTGACGTCTCAGAAATAGTAGTATAGCTTTTTTTATGACTCTCTAGTAGAACGGCTGATAACATACAAATACATGAGATCACAAAATAAAGTATTTTCCACATTGCATTTAATTAGTATCTTAACACTCTCTGTACACATGAATAGCAGCGAGGAATGTGACACAATTATACAAGTAGGATAACTAAAAACCTCAATTCATGTTGCCTCATACAGTGGCATTACCTTAATGGCAATTCGCCCTTTTAAAACATGCCTAATGGTGGACTTACCAATTACTACTAAGTATCTAATGCCAGCACAGAAATGAAGAAATCATGTCTTCAAGTACCAGAGTTATGGACCAAGGATGCAAAGAATCGTTTTCTCCTACAACTGTCATGGAGTGAAATTCACTTCCACCAAGTACATTTGGGGCATTATCACTCACTCTCACTCACTAGACAGCTTTAAACAACTCCTGCTTACAGTTACCAGGTTAGGTGTAACAGGTTGTTTGGTGTAATACACCAAACATGGACATGCTGAAGGGCGGTTATACAGGCTATACAGATTGATGCATATCTCTGTAGGACTAAAACCATGTGGAATGAATATTTTCTCCAACACTATATATACTCAAGAAACAATACAGGTGATATTCTACTGTTCTGCCACTAAGTTCTCTGCACCGATGCATTTGTCTGACAGTTTAACTATTCAATTAAGATGTAGATACTAATGATTGAATATGTCAATGAAGGTTAGACATCAAGGTAATGAGATACACTAGCCACTGATAAAAAGTAGTGGATGCTACTTGAAACGTCCAACAGTTTGCAAGTACAAAATGTAGTTGCTTGAGTCACTGTTTTCTTGTGCTGTTTGAAAACTTCACCAAAAGTAAGTGATAATTTATAAAGTACACAGACAAAGCAAAGCATGGCTACATTACTGGCCCAATATTGTGTCATTCCTGCTACACAAAAGTATCAAGTTACAATTTTATATTATGAATATATACACCTATTGAAGCCTTACCGATGTACAAGACTAGATACATGTATATATGTACACACAACACGTACTAGCAGCATTAAACAATGCAAGCCAGCATGTAACATAGCAATGATCATTATACAAGGGCTAGGTCATATCTATAGAGGATGTATACTTTGAAGTAACCAGAATTTTTTAAACATTAGTTATCTACATTGACCACCATCTTTTACGAGCTCTTGTATCCAAAAACATGCTTTATCCAGAACTGTGTCCAGGCATAGTTGGGATATTCAGACCTATCCAGAACCATGCATGGGGCAGAGTTACATTCTTGGATACACGTAGACTGTCCAGAACTGTGCCTGATCCTAATGCTAACCCATTCAAGCACAGAACTAGGGTTCTAGATACGATACAAGCCTAGCAAAATTTAACAGTATAAATACAGTCTCTACACTAGGAAAAAAATCATGTAAAAGCAAATATCTATAAGTAAATACAGTTGAGACGGAGTTTGCTATGCAAATGTATAGTGAATATATTGTGAGTCAGTAGCACTCAAATTAGTGGAAATCAGTCTGAGAATGTTGAAAATGTGTAAAACTAACAATGTACATGTACACTGTAGGTGATTTGGGCTTGTCTGCAGTTAGTACCGATGGTATAGGGTTTAGATTTGTAAATGGTATATAGTGTTCCTCTACAAATTAAGCTTTGGTTGTGGCAATAGTCAATAACTAGCACTACACTGGATATACCTATGGATAGTCTTGTGTTAGTGAATAATTATCAGTATAAGTCAGAATCTACAGGCCTTTTTGCTTAAATTTAATCTAATATTTTGCTCAAATCTGGAGACTAAAAGCATGAAAAGGACTGACTAAACTAGCCAAAAATGTGTTCCCAAAACAATTTATTTTTCCAAATGTTGTATTTTTATTTTCCTATCAAAAAATCTTCGCATGGCTTTAAAATACAGAGTAGCAAGACAAACCAAAACGATACAGGGCAAAAACATAACAGATACTGGCTTAAGCATTTAATGTCCTTATCCAGATCTTTCAACAGTGTACAGGATGAAGCAATCAACTTGAAGTTAATTTTTATTGCATAAATACTTTGCAGACAACACTTCCTTTTGACAACACTTCTTTAAACAGGTTGAATGGTACATGTATATCCCTTAGGTAATTCTTAGCCACTACAGAAAACTCCACTGTGGAGGAAAGTTCTTGGGATGAACTAGCCTGGTATCCATCCTGTTCTAGCTCCGATTCACTTTTCTAATTGTACATCTGCAGAATAGCCTGGCACCCAGCCCAACTGTAATGTTTAGTCTGTATGTCATGCATTATTACCTCCATGAAAAAAATGGAGGTATTGTTTTTGGCCCGTCTGTGTGTGTCTGTGTTTCTGCATATTTGAGGTCAGCATAACTTGAGAAGGCCTTTATGGATTGGGACGGTGTTTGGTATGTGGGTGGGTCTTGGAAAGACCAAGGTCAAATTTGGGCCTCCCGGTGGCTGATCTTGGTACTGCAGCTGAACTTCCAGTTTCTGTATCTTTTGTCCAGATCTAAGAAGCAGTGTAACCACATTACCATATCGTTACAGGGGCCATGTAGATCAGAACTCTGTTTATGGCAAATATCTAAATGCCAATTGTCTATGAAAGTGTGCCTATTCAGCACTGTGCGACTATTCAGCAGTGTAAGCAATCAGAAGAAGACACATTGGCAGAATGTACTGCACCTGTGTGAAACCTGAATTTTTTTTACAGTTTTTGTTGGATGTCTGGTCAACATTGCACCAAACATGAAATATTTGAAAACTATAGTAGATGGGATGTCATCCTTAAATATGCAAACACCACCTTAAACATGACGTTCTGCCGATGTGCATTATACGTCACAGGTGAAGTATGTTCTGCCAACATTCTTCAAAGGAGTGAACTGGAAGTACAGAACAGAGCAGATACCAGGCTTGGGATAAACACTGAGCTGCAGAGGTGCAGATCTTCTAAGTCTTTCTGGTACAGGGCCAGCTCAGACCTCCACATGCTGCCGACACGATGAAGTAAATTATCAGCTGGAAATGCAAGAAAACAACAATCATATCAATAGTTTTCAAAAAACTTACATATATTTCAGGGTAGAGACTTTCATCCGGTAAACTCAACCCTGATCGGAGCCTTTGTCGACATAGACCTCAGAGTGCTATGCTGTTTCCCTATTTACAAATCCTGTATTTCAAGTCAATCCATTGATATAGTGACATGAATCAATGTTGAAAAGTTGTCTTTCTAGGTGTATATACAGTGAATATCTTTTGACATATGCAGGTTTCACATGCTCCCATGCATACACAGTTTTCATACCATCACGTTTCTGCCTGCATGTAAATCATGCCTTAGTCAGGCAGCTCTGTCAGAAAAAGAGAGAAATCTGAGTCAGACTTACGATGATGACGATGGCCAGAATGATGGTGAGCTTCAGGTTCTTCATACACATGGATCGCGCCAGGTTCTTACTCGTCTTCTTGAAGGTCACAGACTGTGGGAGGGGGGGCACAAGGTCAAGTCCTGCATTCTAGTGAGGGTCTGCATGGGGGGGGGGGAGTCCTGGCAATGCTTAACAGTAAATTCAGGCAGCCCGGCTGTTCTTGTGTAAGGCTTTGGGAATGACTACAATCTCAGTAGATGTCGGCACCAAACAATGATTGGCAAAAGTAAAAATCATGCCATGTCCTTCATTCCACGATCTTTAAGACTGCCCTACACTAATGACAACTAGTTTTTATAGTTGTATTCAGGGGTTATTTGTGTATCTGCACCTGTGCACCTGTGTAAATCACCCATTAGGTAACCTGGTGGATAAATGGAACAGAGGTTACAGCTCAGCAGCTGTTGTATTTGGGACGAAAATGTTTGTACTTTAGAGATTCAAAGGTAGATGGATGCTTTGTAGGCATGGAGAAGGCTACAGATGTTAATAACTTGTAAAGACTTACGGTTGCCTCCAGGTCTTCAGTCTTGTCAATCAGCAGCTCAAGTCTCTCTCCTCTGGCTGCTATGCTGTCTGTAAGAATAGAGCCAATACATGTACAATATAACAGAGGCAAACAAAGCATAAGTCCATATGAAGTCCTCCCAACCACAGTAAAGAAATGAAAACTGAAGTGGTATGGCCACGTGTCATGGTCATCAGGACTAGCCCAAACTATCAACAGTACAGGGAGGAAGAAAGAGAAGTAGACAATGGAAAAGATGAGTGGACAACATCAGAGAATGGACAGGCTTGAAACTAAGTGGAAAATGAAGACCCAGATAGGAACAGAAAACCAAGAATGGTGAAGTAAACTGGTTGTCAGTGTCCCAATGGTCTACCATAATAATTAAGACTAAGGGATTCACAAATGAGATGTGACAATCTCTTTTAAACCATACAAATAATAATCTTTCATGATAGTAAATAATAATCTTGCATGTTACGTAACTCTGTTATCAATGTGTGATTTTGCACATCAGTTGACAGTAAAAACATCATCACTAACCTATGTTTTTCACCATGATGCCCTTCAGTTCATCCAGATCCCCCTGAACCTTGGACACTCTGTCTACGTCCTTACTCTCCGAGAAATGTTTCTGTGGAATCAATGAAGGTTAGACATCCAGGTAGAACATTACAAAATGCAAAATACATCACTGCATTTATAAAAGAGAAAGCAAAGGCAGCTATACCAGCTATTACAGATACAGAAATCAGGTGACGCGATAAATTGTCTGAAGAGTTGTTACAGATAGCATCCACTGTGATCTTTCATCATTGACAGAGATCGAGTCTGAAAATAAGTGAAACTTTGGACTTGTCAAACCCTGTAACCATGCTAATGACTCTGAGCCAGTCGGAACTTTCCAATACTCATGTCGTATATTCAAATATACAAATGTCAATCATTTCTCTTTTAACAGGTGTTGGGCTATTTAGCAAGGGACATGATCAGAGAAGCGAACCAGACTGAGAGCTAGAAAAGGCTGGACACCAGACTAATGTTCCTTACCATCTGTGTAGACAGGACTCTGGAAAACTCACTGTTCATGGCAAAGGGAAGTGCTGTCTGTGCCCGTGCTCCATAGGTTGCCTGGAATCTGGAAATAGCAGCAAGATTTAAATACTGGGCAAGTCCCTACATACGCATATATATATTAGCAACCACTGTTTTTTTCTACAAATTAGATCCATTATTGGTAGGCATATGCAAAGTATTAGTGGGCATATGCAAATCATTGGTAGGCATCTGCAAAGTACTGGTAGTAGGCACATGCATATTGTTGTTAGGTATATCATCAAACTACCACCTACTTTTTTTGTCTTAAAGCTGCATCATGTAACATTAGGGCAATACAAAAAGTAACTTTTTTGTCATTTTTTTACAAAGAAAGTTGAATCAACCCTACTTCATTGCAAGGAGTGTCACTGAGGAAGTGGAGGTGCCAAAATATGATACCTCACGAGTGTGTTGAAAAGCTGGAAACGTAGCTATCAGCCATGTTTGTTTACATTCTAGTAGTTTGTGGTGGTACCACAAACTGAGTGCTCCTCGTGTGGGCTGTTTTGTCACTCAAATCATGAACCGTGAGGGGAATGTAAACTTTTGGGCCCACATTTTTCAAACTGTAGCAGTAACACCTACTAGTACTAGACTACATACTACATGGTTTTAGGAAGAAAACTTCAGCTCACCTTCTTTTGACTTCATTGAGGTACATGAAAGCCTTGGATCGTTCAAAGTCCTGTAGCAACAAAGGGGAACTCCAAATAAGGGCATGTTCATGTTTAATACATTTCTGACACAAAATTTTACTCCAAGCATGGGAGACATGTATATATTTTACTGTGTATGAGTATGAAGAATTATCATTTCTATACTCACATCATCAGTGATGCACAGATAGATGATCCTGTCTTCTGACACATAGTGGAACAGGTAGCTGAAAAATTAAAACATAGAATTGTTAACATCCACTAACAATCATAAATACAACACCAGGGCCATGACTGACTCTTCCAAGCACCGGTATACATAACATTCTACTAACAGTAAACTCAATACAATTTCTGATATTCTGATGACATTCTTTTAAGCTGCATTAAGTTTATAATACATAATGTAGTGGTACATTTTTTAACTGTTAGAAATCACCTCTAGAACTAGCCTAGTAGGCATGAAGCTTAGTGATATACATGTAGACAAGTATATGGAAGTAACAAATTGGATAGAAACAAAAATTAGTTAACAATGGGGGTCTGCATAGCACTTTTGCAATATAAGTCATAGCAATTGGCTATTTTCACTTACTATAATTGGCTATATTCATGCTCATAGGGAAAGCTTTCAACTAATTCATACCCAGATGGCTACATGATGCACAATTGATTTTGTGAATTTCACACTAGGTAATGCGTGGACGGTTCTCCTAAATTCATAGCAATGTCCAGACATCCAATGCAGGCTCTGGTATTATGTCATGGTATCTGTGCTCCATATACATGTCATTTTGGTCACATTTGCATGGCACAAGACTACTTAGGATAGGAGATCAAATTTACTTGAACACACGTTAACATCTTAGTTTAGCCCATTTTTGACTGAGAATTCTACCATAAGCAAAAACTAACCCTCTAAGTTAGTCTGTCAAGTTTTAATTGTTTTTATTGTTATTGGAGATCAGAAAAGCCTATGTTAATTTGTCAGATTGTTCAGGAACAGGTACAGGTCCAGACCTGTACCTAAACCTCAGTCCTGTGTACCAGTTGAGTACCTGTACCTGATGTTAGGTTAAGGTACACAGCTATAGAAATAAAACTCACCTTCCATGTGAGTACGTCAGTTTGGCATTTTCCGGTGACACTCTGGACAGGATCTGTTCTGTGACTTCTGAGAAGTTCCCTGCACAGCTGGCAAACTTGGCCAGGACTGTGGTCCCTCGGGCAACAACACTGTACAGGATCGGCATCTCACTGTCTGGGGCATGGGGGAGAGGTGTCAATATACTGTATCTGTATCTGTATAACTGGTATAACCGCCTTTCGGCGTAACACACTAGTTGTACATTACTAGTATTAGGAAAATGTGCTAAAAGTATGACTTCTCAGATACAGATAGTAATGCATACCTAAACCCAATTTTAGGTTCAGGTCCGGATTCAAGTCCAGAGGTTTAGGTTCAGTTCCGGACTTGTAAGTCCGGACCTAAACCCATGGCATATACAAAATTGCATGTTGGCAACCTTGCAATGTTGTCTGGGTGAAAGTTTGGCCACATAACATAGAGGACGGTACTTGACGATGCCCGATGGCAATGTTTTCTTCATTTTGCAGCAAAGATTTATAATCTACGGAAGGTTTTAGGTGGTTTGGAAAGAAAAGGGGTATGTGAAATGGTCTTTTATGGTATTAAGTCCGGACTCGATTCTTGACTTTTAGGTTTTTTTTTACTTGAACCTAAACATTCTTACAAGTCCGGATCCAAGTCCAGTGAACCGGTATGCATCACTAGATACAGATATTACATTTATATGGATACAGGGCTAGAAATATCACCTGCAAATGCAGTGCAGGTAAAATTGGAGCTGCCCAGGTATTTTTCATTTCCCAGGGATATTTTGATGTCTACCTTCACCCTGTTCCATGTACTGGGTTTATGTGGGTTGTCATTAGAAATGATCTGTGGTGGTTAAGTATGCAAATTGATTGTACAAGTACTAGTAATCATTAAAGTAAAGAGTTATAATTAGTGCCTCCATTCAAAACTAATTACGTGATCAAAAAGATAAAATTTTAATAGCTGGGCCAGTGTAATGCCATGTACTATATGTAAGGACATGTCCTTGTGTATACCTAACCTAGCAATGCATTGTCCTTTTTGTCCATGAACAGAAAAGAGAATTAAGTGTTGCTAACACGACTCTGTTTAAAGGTGTTTATTTAATATAATGTCTAAGGAAGTAAATTTTATTTGGTGAGTTAGTAACTTAGTTTCACTTCAAGTTCTGCTTTCTGGTGACTGAATCAGATTCACTTGCTAAATCATGACATTGCCTCACCAGCAACAACGGTTTTGCTTTTTTGTCAGTTTGCTTTTCCAGTAAATCGACTCAGCAATTTTCAGTGCCTTCATGAAACGGTTACGTTTTTACTCGTGCAAAAACAGACAGTTTTTTTGTCTGAGTCATAGTCACCTGTGTACGTGCAGAAAAAACATCGTCAGGTCTGGGCCAAATTCTCACCGCTAGGAGCCAAAATGGCTGTACCCAAAACGATCAAGATGATCTCCAGTCTATAAAAGGCTATACGACGCAATATTCCAGGGCTTACAAGTACCAGTCGGCAACAAATAAGGAGAAAAGTGGGACAAACCTTCCTAACTTCTTCCGCTCTCAGCAAGATGACGATGTTTTGAAGTCATATGACTGCCCTGGGGGCCTTCGTATATTCAGGTGTTTGATGTTACAGGTACACTGCCTGATCATATACATCCGCATAATATGTAAAATTAACTCTGAAATGTTGCAAAACATTTCTTGAAATTACTAAACTAAATGCATTTTGATTAGTTTATTTGGTTTTAAGTGAACTCTGTTCATATAGATGCGTTAATTTTGTTTCTACAACTTAGGCAGGCACCAATCGCATCGGCAGACAGACAGCTATCTTCCAAAATGGCTGAACAGCAGAAGAAAAAGTTGGAAGTGGTCTGTATACTAAGGTTTTTCTTGGGACTGCTAGGGTCATAGTAACCTAGCTAGCTTTATAATGGTGCCTAAGTTGACTTTTAAGTTGGCAGACGTTAGGTAGTCGTGATCGCTGTATACTTGTTTAGATACTAGCCGGTGAAAGTGAAACAAATATGCCCCCCTCCCCATACTTGTTCTAGCTCCTGTGCACGTGTAGGAACTTGTACTAACGTTATGGGAAACAATGATAACGTGATATCCCTCCAGACTGCTCCCATTTAGGAGCATTTGCTCCCCAAAATCAAGTCGTGTGCCTAGAAAATTTTGATACGAGCACCGAGTGCTCCCATCAAAACATGCATCATAATGTCTATCTACATCATGGACTGCAAAGCATAACATTAACAGTCATATCTTGAGTCACTGTATATTTGCTTTTTGATCAAGATGCTTTCAATCAGCATGTTTCTATTTACAAAAAAGCTATGTATTCATGCAATGCCCCGCAAATTTACATTCGATACAATGATCTACCTTCAAAGTGATCCATCTAGATTTTGTTGGTGCACCAAAACATTTTGTATTGGGAGCATGATGCTGAAAGTTTCTATTTGTATGTCGACAGGTGCAGACTCTGGACAGTGATGAGTCGTGTCAGACATTTGTCCTTCATGATGAGGATCACACCCTGGGAAACGCCCTCAGATATATGATCATGAAAAAGTAGGTAATGTATATAAAATACCGTATATGTATCATCCGTCATTACAAGAATGACCAGAAGATTGACTTTGAAAATCCAGTTTTGCCACCCTGAAATTGTGATTGGATGCCAAGTTTCTCATTCAAAGTCACTTTTACTGTCTTTTAGTTCTCATGTCTCTGATAGTCACTAACTTAGCTTAGTACTCTGCTACTTGCGAGGTGACAAAATATTGAATTGCTGAATTTTGACATCTGAGTGATTTGAATTGTCTTTTATCTTTTTTTCAGCCCTGATGTGGATTTCTGTGGCTACAGTGTGCCTCATCCCTCAGAACATAAAATCAACCTCAGAATACAGAGCAGAGGTACCAGGTTGTTCTATGTTCTTGTTGTCATACATCCTGTCATTTAGGTCCACAATAAAAATAACTAACCTGACTAAATCACACTACTAGTGGCTGACAGTTTAAGTTTTTGCCCCACAAAAGTGGATCAGTTGGGATTCTTGAAAGAAGACTTAATAAAGAATCCTGTAGTAACCAGACTTAATAAAGTTGGTAACAGCCAATTACAAATGTACCAAGTCTGAGCCCTGTCATTTTCTTAATGCCAATGACTGATGTCTACTTTTCTGTGCCATGTTAGGTCCTCCAGCTGCAGACATCCTGAGACGAGGGTTAACAGAACTGAATGCCATGTGTGACCATGTGCAAAATACATTTGAGGTGAGCAGTAAACAGATACAGCCAAACCTGCACAAGCACAATGTTTTGTATACTACCTGTACACATAAGGAAGTACATACAGTAAGGAAGAAGAAGATGGTCTCCCGTGCTCTTGCCCGAGCGTAGGGTGGTGCCCATCTCCATTTCGTAGCCTTTGGGCAACACACAATTGTGCAATGCACTACAGCAGGGGGCTGGTCCGCTGGTAGTACTGTGTGTTTGACCTTCCCACACTCTTTCCCATATGTGCTGAGTGCTATGCAGAGAAAGAAGTGTGTACCATTTTTAAAGTCTTTGGTATGACCCGGCCAGGGTTTGAACTCACGACCTCCCGGTTACAAAGCGAGCACTCTACCAATTGAGCTATTGCACCGGTTCGTACATAAGGACCACCTGGAAAATGTGTCTTTTTTTTGTGGTCCCTTAGATAATCCATTGACAACCTGTCCACAGACACCAGATTTTTTGTTGGTCCTTGAGTGATCTTTTTGGGCAATCTCAAGTCTTTGGTATGGCCTGGCAAACATTCTACCTTGTAGGCATATTGAAACAGAAGTGAATCTCCAAGCAGATCATACGGTGGCAAGGCAGTATCCATTGGCCTTAGGAGGGACCATTAACCACCGAAAGTCGCTCCTCTGGCCAACAGATACCACCTAGCCACCGTATGATCTGCTTGGAGCTCAACAGCAATGTTGAGATGAATTTTATTGACTAGTTGTGTTTTGTTTCCTATAGGGGGCTGTTGAAGAATATAAGATGAACCAGGCAATGCAGCCAGCAACAGAGAACACTGAGCCCATGGAGACTGGATAGCAACTTAAAACCTTTAAAATAGTGCCACTTTGTATTATACAATACTTTAACCATGAGAAGACTCAGACTTGTCATATGATTTTTATGGATATTTATAAGTGTTGGTCCGATAGTCCATCTAATGTTCTACTCTCCAAGCAGATATTGGGAGCTAAAATCGTTATGTTTTTCTAGTTTCCCATTTCTGTTAAGAGGTAGTTTGTGATAGAACCAGGCAGCTAGGAAACTGTAAAATTTTGCCTCTCTTCATCTGCTTGGAGATTATGTAGCTTATCTGAAGAAAACAATAAAACATTGTTGAAAAAGTGTGATATTGAGTCTGACATTCTTTTCTTCTAATGTACATGTAGTTAAGTTTATGACTCAGTATTCACTTGTCAAAATAAAGTTCCAACTCCAAGAAGATCTTTTGGTGGCTACAAGACAGTATCAAATTGGTGATACATGTACATGTATTAAATTCACCACCAAAGTTTGGTTGAAAAAAAAGATTCATTTACCGGTACAAAAAAAGTCCGATGAAAACACGTCAAAAATAAAACCAGAGCTTAAAACCTCTGCTTGGAGAGTACAGCAAATGACCTGCCAAGGTAAGGCGAAACATGCCGGATCCAGGAGTTTCCTTAGTGGTCCTTTTTGTCCGTGAAATCGGCCGATCTCAGTAATTTATTACCCGCAGCTGTGTCGTTTTTCGTTGGCATGACATCCCAACATTCAAGCCTCGGTCGTTTAGTGAGAGTGTACATAAGTTGTATTTCAAAGACTACACGGTTTGTGATACATGTGTATCCAACAGTACTAAACGGTAGCAGTGAGTGGTGTGGATATTATAAAACCGTTCCGGAACAGAACGTGTATTAAAACGTCGCTGTTGTTCTAGAGCGCCCGCGTTTGTGTGTTTAATTCTCAGATGTCCCTTGGCAACGTTCAAGTCTGGAGGCTTGAAACCTACAGGGGAACTTTGATACCTAACTATGGTTGTCATGATCAACTTACGGTATAGCCTGTTCCAGAACAGAGCGTCAGCATGTGTGTGTTTGATTCTAGAACGTCCCTTGGCAACGGTCACTTCGAGGCGATAAACTTACAGGAGAACTTTCATACCTAACTACGGTTGTCATTTCTCAACGCACAACAAAGCTTTGCTCATTAATTCTAGATCGCTAGCTGCCGTGACAGGTAACTTTGTTGAGTAGTCTATACATACCTGCTACCGAAGATGAAGAGCCACAGTGGATCGGAGAGGAAAGCAGGGGATGCCAAAGGTAAGCAGGCGGCGTCGGTGGTGTCTCTTACCGGCACCGAGTCCACGACAGGCGGGCGGACGAGGAAGAAGCGGAAGGGCCCCTCCACACACTCGGTACGCAGGTGTGAGTCGACCCGCCCGTCCTCCAGCATCCCCCGCCCTCCCTCTAGTAGGAGAGTCACCAGCAGCCACCACAGGAAATGTCGCAGTAGTTCGCACAGCGCTCCGTCCAAGTCGTCCGTGCCTAAACACGGAGCTACGGATTCAACAACAAAAACAACAACAAACTCTTCCACTTCGGTTAAAAGGAAGAAATCCGCCAGGAAAACGTCTGTGCAGAGCGCCAAGGTTAAGAGAAGTACCAGAGATGACAAGAAGCGTGTTTCTACTGCATTACCATCACGGGAGAACACAGTAACCCCTGACAGCAGTCTTGAGTCTGTGGTAAGAGTGGAGTATATTCATATTGCTCACACGCATGGTGGTGAGGAACAAGAGGTTCAGCCACCGGAGGAAAGTTCCACACACTCGGTACACAGGTGTGAGGCGACCCGCCCGTCCTCCAGCATCCCCCGCCCTCCCTCCAGTAGGAGAGTCACCAGCAGCCACCATAGGAAATGTCGCGGAACGTCACACAGCGCTCCGTCAAAGTCGTCCGTGCCTAAACACGGAGCTACGGAGATAACAGCAACAACTTCTCCGGTTAAACGGAAGAAATCCGCCAGGAAAAGGTCCGTACAAAGCGCTAAGTTTAAAAGAAGCACTAAAGATGACAAGAACTTGAAGAAGGGTGTTTCTATTGCACTGTCATCAAGGGATGGCACAGTAACCCCTGACAGCAGTCTTGAGTCTGTACTAAGGGTGGAGTATATTACCCACACGCAAGGTAGCGAGGAACAAGAGGTTCATACACCTGAGGAAAGTTTTCCTTGCGAAGTCGAAACCTGCAAAGCACTGGCAGGCACAGGTGGCGCTAACAATGACAACAGCGCCGCGGTCAAGTACGGTGAAGAAGGTGGGAACGATCCGGTCATGGTCGGAAGAAACCAGTCAGAAGATGGGCGTGACCACGACAAGGGGAGGGAACCGGTTGCCCGTCTCCCCAAGAATGACGTGCCCAAATCGCCGTCACTAAGAGAGGCATCCAAGCAGAGAAAACCCGCGTTGGTATGCGGCTCAGTCAGGGAAGCCTGGGGATCAGCAAACACTGACAACATGTCGGACAGGAAGGACCAACATGTCCGGTTTTCGTCGTCCAGGTAGGCTTAATAAGTGAAGACACTCGCATATGTATATTCCCTGGTTGTCACATGTTGCTTAGTTGCAAAATATGAAGATTGTTTGCCCCCCAGAAGCTAAGAGCGTGTGTGAGATATTATATAGGGTACAGTTAAATATGTCCTAGCTAAAGGAACGGCCTAAGTACGTTTTTCTGGTGTTTGACTGAATGGCTTAAGAGTAAGTACGTGTTCAAACAATGTGAAGAGGAAGGAAGGACCTTACTTTATACCATAGAATCCGTTTTACCAAGGAGGTCATCTAATATCCAGACTAGAAATGCATTTTACGACAGTCACTTTTGTATGTGTTTGTATCTGTGGTAACGAAAGAACGTACGAGACTGACCAGATAAAATAAAATAATCTCTAAGTAGATCTTTTGGTAGCTGCAGGACAGTATTAAATTGGCAAGAAGGCGTCAAACTGGCCGTGCAGTACCCATTTGCCAACCGATGTTTGGTTGTCGTAACAAAAAGATACTAGTACAAGAAAGAAAGTCCAATAAAATACATCAAAACACGTAAAAAATAAGCCCAAGCCTACACCTCTGCTTTAAAAATAAATGTATTTTAGTAAAATTTGTGCCGATTTTAAAAAAATTCTAAAGGTTTGTGAAAAAGTCCAAGACTTTTCATGTAAGTATAACGCTCAGAAACCCCACTCCGTAGCTAATATGAAAAACCCCTTATTTTTTCTTCAATTTTATCCATTTAGTTCCCATCGAACGGACTTCAGCGGTAGTACCGATCGAGGGACGAGCCAAGACGAGGACAGAAGGTAACGTTAGGAAGTTATCGTACCCAAAACCGTGCCTATCTAGGTCTATGTCTGAATGCGTTGGCAAGGGTTAGGATCTGAGGCACGGTTCTGGGTAGTCTCTGTGTATATCGAGACTAGATTTGCCCCCAAGCATGGTTGGAATATCCAGTTTGAGAACCGTGTCTGAGCATGATTCTGGATAAAGCACGGTTCTGGATACAACAGAGGTCTACTATCATGTCAGATTAACAGGTGTTTTCTTTCAAGAAACCATAGAAGATGTGAATCTATTATCTTTTTTATGCCACGCACTGTAAAAAAGGGCAGGTGACCGAGTCAATTCGTTACAAATTAGTACCCCAATCACGTCCCTTATCTGTCATTTACTGATGCGTCAATGGCTCGGAAATGTAAACAAAGCTCCAGGAGGTACAATGTACATTTGTAGCTGGCATATTCTAGTCAGGCACAGTCCTTCACACGTTTGAATATAGCCTCTACCAGGCTTCAGAGGCTGCTGGAAGGAGTAGAAATCGGCCATCGTAGACAACATACGGTTACCAGAGAAGCGACACACTGTACCTCTTCAGCGGACCAACTTCTCTGGCATGTTATAATATGTCTATTTGGACAATTTCTATTCTATCCAGCCGCTTTTGAAGTGGTACAGGCAACCTTGTTACCCTAACAGTGGGTTCACTGCCCTTGACAACGCTGGACAGTAACTTTAAGCCAGCTAGGGAGAACAATTTGCTAGGTGTTAGGGTAATTTGCCCGCCCCTTGTTGTTGCGTGGGCTCACTCTACGTAGCTACATACTAGTAGCCCTTTGGGAAGGCCTGGCGGAGGCTAACAGTAAACCAGAGACCGGGTGACTATAAAAGAAGTCACCCCACAGAATAACTAGCTCCACAAGCCAAGATGTTGAGAGGATTTATAGGGAAACCAGAGTGAAGAATAATTAGAAGCACACAACGACATCGTTGGTGATCATTCCCAGATCACGCCCCAGTCTTAACCAGGAACATTCTCCTGCCCCGAAAGTGTCAAAACAGATGTCCGCACAGGGAGGTACGTCAGAAGGAATCAGACACACCTAGGAGGTTAGTAGGGAGTTCGAACCTCCTTGGACACACGTACATAGCCTCTACCAGGCTTCGGGGCGGCTGGAAAGAGTAGAAATTGGGCAAATAGACAGATAACATGCCAGGGGACTTGGTCCGCTAAAGAGTACAGTTTACTGTTCCCGAAGCCTGCTTGAAGTGTTTCCACTTCCATTTAGCGGACCAACTCCTTTGACATGATATCTGTCTTTTTGGCCAATTTCTACACTTTCCAGCCGCTTCTCGAAGCCTGATAGAGGCTATACATATACATCCTCCCTTCTAAGTTTTGAACAGCTATTAATATTAGATATATGGAAGTCAGTTTGTGGTTTGCTAAATGGTCTGTAGCCAACCTCTTCAATCCAGACTCATCGGCATCAAATACTATTTTTAGCATTTTTGAAAGAAGAATCCACACTGCTGTACTTGCCAACTTGACCACAATGTTCTTGGCACGCTACATAGTCTCGCTCATATCTCGCCCGTTTGGAATAAAATCTATAGTCTGGATGCCGGACTGTTTCCAGGGTGGTAGTGGGCGTACATTGGCCAGATCCTCGGCTCCTGGGCCTATATTATCACTCTCCAAGCAGAGGTTTAGGCTTCGGCTAATTTTGACGTGTTTTTAGGTGTTTTTATCGGGCTTTCTTTCTTGTACTGGTAATTTTACCCCTGTTAAATGGTGACTACCTGGCCTGGCATTACGTAACAGCCTGGCCGTTCTTGCAGCCACCAAAGATCTGCTTGGAGATAAGACCAACATGCCCCCAAGAAGATTTGGCCACAGCCCCCTGAACAATAATGTCGTTGGTTAGACTACAAAGCCCGCCGCACGTAGACTAATGAGTGTGGATTTGCATTGAGGGGTGACCAGGAAGTTTTTAAAAATGCATAGGAATGACACATGGTTCCTAATGTAAGCCTAAAAGCGGCGTAGCGCCCCTGATCACTCCAAACCGGTGTGTGCCGCCCAGACTTGTCATCCAGGCGTGAACGCGCGTCAGCCGGGCTTCTCTCCGGGTTTCACACGTCCAGGCGTCACTTTCTTAGTACACCCGTGCCCAGTTATTCATGAAACAAGCACTGGTAATTGATAATTAGCTACACTAGTATTTAACAACATTTTAATTGGTCCGCTAAAGGAGTGCGGCAGACTGTACGGACCAACTCACCAGGCATGCTATTGGCCAATTTTACTTTTCCCAGTCGTTTCTAAAGCCTGGTAGAGGCTACTGTAATCGTGGTTTGCCACTGTTTTGATATCGTTTTTTTTTCCTTCACGCTTATACATAGGTCTTATTTTTTCTAGACGATGGCTAAGTTGCCTGAGCGGTTAAATTTTATTTGTGTACAGTATGGCCAATTTTATCAATGGAATATGATGCACGATGTTTATGTATAATTAAAAAGACAACAAATTATGCTAGATGTACCTCAGCGATCATTAGCCTCCTTCGCAGACTTGTTGGGGTCGGCGTTATTTTTTTCTGTGAGCGACGCGAGTTATTCCGCGGAGGGACGATTTTGCTGCCGAGGGAGTTTTTGCCGTGGAGGGAAGGTTTTCCTTGTTGGAGCGCGAAACCTTCTCTCCACGGCAAAAACTCTCTCGGCAGCAAAATCGTCCCTCCAGGCTACGCGGCATATTACTCGCGTCGCTCACAGAAAAAAAAATAACGCCGACTCCCAAAAAGTCTGCGAAGGAGGCTAACGGTGATGACCTGGCCAGTTATTCTCATTATTTGTACTCTCCAAGCAGAGGTTGGTGGGGCAAGATCGTCACCGTTTTATATATGCCTCGTTTTTTTTGTCGCCCCCCACCCAAAAAAAAAACGAGGCATATATAAAACGGTGACGATCTTCCCCCACCAACCTCTGCTTGGAGAGTAATTATTTGGCCTAATTTTACGGATTTTGCTCCTGTGTTGTTACTGGTAGCAAGGAGGTTAAAAATCTAGATTTAAAATCTCCGTGCTGGTGGAGACTAGATTTTTGTGACAAAATCTTGCGCAACGTGTGTGTGTCGGTGTATCAAAGGCCGTGACAAGAGAGGCCCAAAAGGTTTGATTGGTGTTAATTTGTGACAGCTAGCTAACGAGTCTCGTCACTGGCGGACAATGGACGCGTTGCACGTCCATGTGAAAACTTCAAAGGGCTGGGCACGAGGCTAATTACGGGCAGCGGCCGATAGTCGCTACCTGCCTTCTTGGGCAATGTGCGCCGGTGAGAACTCCATGCATTTTTCATCATTTTCAACAAGGAGGTTAAAAATGGGGACCTTCTTGTTTGTATTTAATGATTGTCCTGGCAATTAGATAGCCTCTGTCAGGCTTCTGAAGAGGCTGGAAAAAGAAGAATTGGCCAAATAGCGGACAGATAACATGCCAGGGGAGTTGGTCACTCACTCATTCACTCACTCATGTCCGCATGCTCCTAGGAGCGTAGCGCCCCGGCAAAGTTGGTCCGCTATATAAAATGAGTACAGCTTGCCTTTAGCGGACCAACTACCCTGACATGTTATCTGTCTACTTGGGCAATTTCTACTCTTTCCAGTCAGCCACTTCTGAAACATCGTAGAGGACAGTGGCAATCAGGCTCCTATCAAACATCAAGCTTTAGAAGCAATGTTTGCTATTTATAATTACTAGAAATTAAAATTAGAAATGAAATAATCGATCAAATCTCTAAGCAGATAAATCGGCCTTTACGCCTCTCTCTTGTGATGCACGTGTGCACTTTCCTGGAGATACCATCCCGCCCTAGCCCGGACCCCAGACTGCAACCGCGGGGTCTGCCCAAAGAGGTTCAATCAATCAGATCATGGTTCAAGGCGTTTTACCCTTGATCAGATCGATCTGAAAGATGACTGGCATCCAGGCTATTCCCGCCCCGGTGCGTTTGAGTGCAGGCCCCCTAACCCTGACTCTAACGCACAAGAGGACTACAAAAGACAAAAAAACGACAACAGACCAAAAAAAATGAAGAATTATAAAAGAATCTTAAGAAATTTCAAAGAATCTGTTGGGGTATCTGTTGGCGATGTGTTTAAAGTGTGGTGTGGTTTCATTAGTTTATTAGCACCCTTGTTAACTTTATCAGCTGTCTTGTTACCGAAAAGTCTGTATTCTATCCTTGTCGGCGTTTGGTTGCCACTTGAGCCTACTTGAAACTGCTACCACAAAGAGTTACGACGTCCTACGACAAAATGTGACTGTAGCCTCTACCAGGCTTCAGGAGGGGGCTGGAAATTGACTAAATAGACAGATATTAAACATGCCAAGAGGGTTAGTCCCGAGTACAGTTTGTCGCTCTGAAACCGTACTCATTTGTCGGGCATGTTATCTGTCATTTGGCCAACTTCTACTCTTTCCAGCCTCCTCTGAAACCTAGTAGAGGCTACCAAAAAGCATAAGTCGTAATCTTGCTAAGGAGATTTATCTGCCAAGCTGGCGATGAGAGACACCTATCCACGCGTCTGAAGAAGATTATCTGAATCAAAAATTGATTTTGAGTCCGTAAAATAACGGAACACGTGGATTAGCCCGGTCTGAATTCAATTACGGGCGGCCAGACCGAGATTTTCACACCTACGCGAAATGCCGTAGAAGTTTGTGAACGAGACTACCCCGGCCAGTCTTTATCCTACTTCAATAATTTCAAAGTTATTTCAGGGCGGCTAAACAAAGCCAAAAATAGGAGGAAATTCGTCTGATATTGACATTAAATGTCATTTTGTAGCACATTTTCGTCACCATTTTATACTTTTGTAGCGTTTGTTTGAAGCAGCCCAAAAACAAGCTACGCGAGGAGACCCTTCATTTTGGTACCACCATTAAATACTACTATAGTAGCTAAATCAAGCACGCGGTACGAAACAAGCAACCCTTTTCCATTTTTTATTTACTCCGGGACATCAGAAGTACCTGTTTTCTTGTGTATCTTATAAAAAAGCAAACAAGCAATCTGGACTTTGATGGGAAAGAGACGTTTTATTGTACAAATTCAGTTTGATCATTTCCACATAAGATGGCACATACTGCGGCCAGTCACATAGAACAATCTGTAACAATTAACGCCATAGGTGTCCCTTCAAGTTTCTCCTATCATGATGTTTGATTACAAATTTCAGAAGAACACGGGCCCACCATTTTCCAAACATACAGTACATGAGCAACATTGTGAACAGCTCTTGATATTCTTACAATGTTTTGAGAGGAACATATGCGTAACATTTTACAAACATACGCTTACATGCCAACATTGTGAACAGCTCTTACATTCTTACAATGTTGAGAGGAACATTTGCGCAAAATTTCCGAACTTACATGTACAATACATGTATGAGATCTCTAGTAACATTGTGAACAGTTCTTACAGTCTAACAATGCTGAGAGGAACATATGTGTAACAATTTCCAAACATACGGTACATGAGATCTCATATCTCTAGCAACAACATTGTGAATAGATCTTATATCACAGAATTTTGCAATTCAATATAAACAGTCATGTTGGTATTGACTATAGCATTTCTCATTGTTCTTTCAATGAGTGCACAACTTTGCAGGTAGCTCAATGTGCTACATTGGATAAATTTGGAGTGGTCAAGAAGGGGGGGGGCAATTTGTCTTATATCCTTAGGGAGATTTCTTTTATAATAAACAATTCTTTGTTACTTGAATAAATAGAAACATATTTGCCTTTAATATGCCTCAATATATTTTTGATAGACTAAATATGGGCAATGTTTTTCATTAGCTTTTTGTTTGTTTTGAATCCAAAGCTTTGAGAATTTACCGTCAAAAACCTTGTTTATTTAAGGGGACCGAAACGGAAAAAGAAGTGTCAACCCTTTTGATAAAAGCAGACACAATCTATCAAACGGTTTTCTTCAACTTTGATATTCATTCGTCAAAACCGTATAAAGAAAGTGCCAAAACAGATATGGGGACAAGTTTCGATCTAACTTAGCAGTTTTTTTTTCAGACATGTTGGTTGTTAGAGATTTGGTGCTTTCTCTAGACCATAGTCTTATTTATTTCGTTTTTCATTACTTTTCTTTGAACGACAATCAGTTCTGCGAAAAATAACTTTGAGGACGCCCTAGCGCAAACTTCAATCTTACGAACTAGAAGTTGTCAAGCTAGCTTGTCAGAAACGTCTCCTTGCTGCCCGAAGCGGTACTGCATTGGCAGTTTTGCTCGTGGCTCGTCAGCCGGTCGCAGCCTGGTTTTTACCAGGAACCGTGAGACCTCGTCTTGGCTCTGTAGCATGGGAGCTGAGTCGGCTCCTCGTCACATAATGTAATCGTTTTAAGCAATTACAGTCAGAGAAAACAGTTTTTGCTCTCTTCTATTGTAGCAGTATTGTCCTACAAGCGTCACTTGGATGAGTACACCTGTGGTGGTGTGAGGACCAGGGTGTCGTACGGACTGAACCTCCTCTCGGACTTGCAGACCGGGTCCCGCCGGAGCAGCGCCCTCCTCTCGGCGCCCTTCAGGTGCGTCTTGGCGTGCTTGGTCAGGTGGTCCTTCCGGCTGAAGGCCTTGCCGCACTCCGTGCAGGGGTAGGGGCGGACCCCGGTGTGGATCCGGCGGTGTCTGGTCAGCTCCTCGTTCCGGGCGAAGGCGCGTCCGCAGCCGGGGTGGTCACAAGGGTACGGCCGCTCACCTGAGAGAGCAAAAAAGAAGGATACAGATCAGATCTCCATACACCAACAATAAACAAACAAACAAAATTAGCAATACAATCTCTATTTTACTTTTGATCCACCATGCTGCCGTCTCTGTCTATCTAGCCGCCATCCGAGATCTTCCCACTCAAGTTCTTAGTAAGGGGTACGGATAGTACAATTATGCACAAAGAAATAAAATCCTATGGTGCAATTTTTGTTCCCTACCAGGCAGAATAGTACAATTTTGTCCCAGCCAGTATTGTTGGTCTAGTAGAGACAAATATCTAGACCTACACGCGCCAGGCAAACGTATCATATCACAGCCCTCACACCAGGAGGGTTCGAAAGTTATATCAGCACCAGCACGGCTCCAATTTATACCAACACAAAATTTACAGGCTTTAACGGACCATGAAAAAACACAGAGAGAGGGTCTATATTGCTCTACTATTTCTCAGTCCACAGAGAGGGCATGAGGGACATTACTTGGTGGGGGGAATGGCCTTGAGGCCATGTTTGCACGCGAGAAAAATGAGATGTTCATTACAGCAGCATGTAGCAGTAAAAAGTCACACTGTAACTATCGAAAGTACCACAAATATATTTTGTATATTGTGGAATGGCCCGCTTCCTAAGAAGCTTACAAACACGTCACTTCCTAACTCGTGTTCATAGCATAGCGATGGCGTTTTCTTGTATTTAACATCACTCAGTGTGCCCATACGATAGGCTGACTACAAGAAACTTCAGAATTGACGTGCAGTCAGAAAACAGCACATGATCAGCAAAAAAACCCAGTATACCTGCTAAGAAGCTAGATCATTGCAAACTCATTTTGCCGATACGTTGAAAGGTTCCCTTGTGTGCATTAACACTAGCTTGTTACCGCCTTGAAAACAGTTAGCCGGGTACGGGGTTAATTTGATCCAGTCCTCGGCAACTTCCAGAAGTTCACGGTTGTCTTTACATATTTTATTTACGGTGGACCCGGGTCAAAAGGACCTTCACTATCTAAAGAAAAACCCGACATCTAGATAAAAGATACACGAATCAACGTATCTATGTGCTGAACTAATGACTGCTGGTGATGTAAAACGTTTTAGATTATAACTTATGAAATAATTTAGGATGACATCAATTTACGCCGGTGTTTTCTAGAGAAGGAGTTTTCTAGAGAAATTAGTTTCAGTATTTTCCTTACAAACAAATTTATGATTTGACAATCACTGGGTACCTGGATACCTTGTAGCTAGGCATTAACAAAAAGAGAAGAAACTCACCGGTATGGACCCGTAGATGTCCCTTCAGCTGTCCGTTGTTGGCGCAGGACACGGTGCAGTAGGGACAGGGGAACTTCTTCTCTGGTCTCTTCCTCTTGCCGCCGCTGATGTCCACTTCTCTAGACTTCTCTTTGGTCAGCCGGAACTCGGCTCGGTCGCTCGCGGACTTCTCCAGCGATGGGGAGGTGGAAGGTACCCGGGGGGACGTCCTGTCGGAGCCCGAGGGACTGCTCTGGAGGCGTCGGTCCCCGGCCGTCGGGAGGAGACCAGGGATGGGCCCGAAGGACTCGACTCTAGGCTGGACAGGATGGCTGTCCGCTGTCGGCGGGGAATGCTTCCCACTGGAGGCGGGGAGCCCGAAGTTAATCCTGGGGTAGAAGACGGGAAGCTCGCTGGGTTTGACCAGGGGGTAGACGCAGGTCGGCGGGCAGGGCCAGGGGAGACCGTAGGCCGCCGGCGGGCAGCTGAGGACGGACGGGCCGTGGAAAGCGAAGCCGGGATGGGCAGACATGGTCGAGAACGGCGGGCAGTAAGCGAGAGCGGAGACTTCCATCGTGGTCGAGTGGTGATGTTCTGAACAACTGAGGGCACGCCACCGTCGCCAGGGCTTATATACCCGCTCACGCACTTCACACCTACTATAGGAGTGACGACGCTTGGGTGTGCGTGCCCGCGTTTAGCGTGTCTGTGTCCCTAAACTCAGACATTTGAATATCAGTGGCGGCGGTCGGACGCTTTGAAGCCGCCTAGTTGAGCAATAGGTGTGAAAGGAGTATCGGAAGCCTTTGAAAGTTTCAGTACAGATTGGTCTCTCTAAAAACTCCTTAATGTTTTTAAAAAGGGCGTGAGAAACTCGTGTTTGTACAAAGTTCTATTTGGGTAACATGCACATCTTGACTTCACGCGACGTCCAGTCCAAACTTATGCCTAAGGTCATACGTGTAAAAGGTACATCGATCAAATTACTTTTCTCCTCACTTGAACTAGCGCTTGGACCAAGGAGTATCTACCTCACCTGCTTGCTTGAAGTTGAATTTCCAGCTAGGAGCGGGTTATCTGTTTTCTGCGAATCTAAAGGTTTTTACTTGGACCAAATTGTCACTCAATCCAAGAATGTAGATTTACATAAATGTATTAGTACTTCATAGTGTGTTTTAATGAAGAGTGAAGAAGTTAACTAGCCTGTACCAGGCTTTTGTACTAATTCTTTACCGGAACTAACTCACCTGACATGTCATTTCCAGTCACTTCTGAAGCCTGTAGAGGCTAGAACTTTTCCCTCCTTTAATAGCAAGCTTCGCTGCTTAATATCTTATCCTGGGGTTTTCCTTCTACATTTCACGAGCCTAACGAGGAGATAATTGTCAAAGGCGCCGCCGCCCCACAAAGGGCGCCGCCTGGACTTGACACATATCGGCGATGCCCAACTTAGCACCGTGCCCCCACCGCTTACAACAAACCCCGCCCGCCACACGACACGGGGCATCGAAAACTTACACGGAAGTTGTGAAAGTTCCAACCGCGAACAAAAACACATGGCGTTTCGCGTAGGTGTGAAAATCTCGGTCTGGCCGCCCGTAATTGAATTCAGACCGGGCTAATCCACGTGTTCGCGTGGACGTGCGAATTTATTTTACGGACTCAAAATCAATTTTGATTCAGATAATCTTCTTCAGACGCGTGGATAGGTGTCTCTAATCGCCAGCTTGGCAGATAAATCTTCTTAGCAAGATTACGAGATGGTTCTTTGTACATCTACCAGCATCTACAAGGCTTCAGAGGTGACTGGAAAAGAGTAGAAATTGGCCAAATAGACAGATATTAAACATGCCAGGGGAGTTGGTCCGCTAAATATGTACAGTTTCCGAGCGACAATCTGTACTCGGGACTAACTCCCCTGGCATGTTATCTATTTGGTCAATTTCTTCTCTTTTCAGCCCCCTCCCGAATCCTGGTGGAGGCTACATTCACATTTGTCGTAGGACGTCGTAACTCTTTGTCGTAGCAGTTTCAAGTAGGCTCAAGTGACAACCAAACGCCGACAAGGATCGAATACAGGCTTTTTGGTAACAACAGAGCTGAACTATAAGTGTAAAGGAATAAACTTCTCAAACCACGCCACACTTTAAAGATTAAAGATAGCACCACGAACAGATTCATTGAAAAGAAATAATTTTTTTTGTCAATTTTTTGTTGGTCTTTTGTTGTCTTTCTGGGGCATCTGTCCTCAAACGCACCAGGGCGGGAGTAGCCTGGATGCCTTCTTTGATGAGCCCACCAGGAAGGTTCCATTTGATTGATCGAATAGTGTATCCTTGGGCAGGCCCTGGCAACAGTCTGGCGCCCAGGCTAGTGCAGGAGGGTTCCTACTAGAAAGCGCGTACCACAAGGAAGAGATTATGACATTATGACACACACAAAAAAAGCCGCAAAAGACCAACAAAATAACCCCAACGGATGCATCTGCTTGGAGATTTGCCACGTTTTGATAATGGAAAGTTTCTGTCAATAAAATGACAAAACTGCTCGAAGTACTAGTAGTAACCTGGCTGTAATGTTCTTTATATTTCACGCGTGTGTTCAAACCCCCTAGCAAGGTCCTTTCTCCAAGGTGTTACCGATACACTGATGATAAAGTTGATAGCGCATTTGTGGGCCTTTGTTTTATCATTGAAAGGAGGTTAAAAATTAAAGCTCCTTGATCATTTCAAACGCACCGTGAGCTTAAACATGTATTGGATTGGATTTTCAGTTGAAATTAACAAGTTTGACTTTGGTTGTGGTTCTGATTGCTAGCCTCTGTCAGGCTTCCGAAAGAGTTAGTCCCCACTGAAAAAAACGTAATCCTTTAGGGGACCAACTCCCTGGCATGTTATGAACTCAGTCTGTCTTTTTTTTAGTACATGTACCTGGCCAATTTCTATTCTTTCCAGCCGCTTCTGAAGCCTGACAGAGGCTATCTAATTGCCAGGACAACCATTGAATGCAAACAAGAAGGTCCCCATTTTTAACCTCCTTGTTGAAAATGATGAAAAATGCATGGAGTTCTCACCGGCGCACATTGCCCAAGAAGGCAGGTAGCGACTATCGGCCGCTGCCCGTAATTAGCCTCGTGCCCAGCCCTTTGAAGTTTTCACACGGACGTGCAACGCGTCCATTGTCCGCCAGTGACGAGACTCGTTAGCTAGCTGTCACAAATTAACACCAATCAAACCTTTTGGGCCTCTCTTGTCACGGCCTTTGATACACCGACACACACACGTTGCCAGAGACATTGCAACAAAAAATTCTAGCTTCTACCAAGGACATAATGTCCTTGCTTCTACTAAACTAACTACGCTGGCTATAGAAAGAATGGTTTATCAGTGGGGTTTGCATTTGTTACCCTTACCGTATCTCAATTCCCTGGCTAATTATTGACCGTCTTTACGCAGAATTCTACTATCCCAAAGACAATGTAATATGAATAAATGTCCTTGAGGCTATCCGTAATCGCTTAGCGCCTTAGCTTCTACGATCAGAGGCGATTGGAAAGAGTAGAAATCCGCCAAATAGACAGATAACATGCATGGGGTTTTACTTTAGGCCACTTGAGTTCATGAGTACAGTTTGCCGCTGTCAGAGAGTATATTTGGCCAATTTATACACTTTTCGGTCGCCTCTGCCTCCCTATGATGCCTAGCAGAGGCTATGTGGAGGCTAACGTGTTGTCTCTTTCTCTCTCTGCAGAGAAACTCCACACAGATAACATGTCAGGGAAGCTGGTCCGCTAGTAAAGGAGCAGCAAACTGTACTTTTTAGTGGACTAACCTAAATTTAAAAGTACATGGCCAATTTCTACTCTGAAGTCTAGTAGAGGATATGCGTGAGGGAAAGAAACCATTATCAAGACAATAGCACACCACGATTACTACCAGAACTGGGAACAGAATCTTCAGAAACTGTTATAGTGAAATAGTTAATTATCTATTACCAGTGCTTGCCCCATGAATAACTGGGCACGGGTGTACTAAGAAAGTGACGCCTGGACGTGTGAAACCCGGAGAGAAGCCCGGCTGACGCGCGTTCACGCCTGGATGACAAGTCTGGGCGGCACACACCGGTTTGGAGTGATCAGGGGCGCTACGCCGCTTTTAGGCTTACATTAGGAACCATGTGTCATTCCTATGCATTTTTAAAAACTTCCTGGTCACCCCTCAATGCAAATCCACACTCATTAGTCTACGTGCGGCGGGCTTTGTAGTCTAACCAACGACATTATTGTTCAGGGAGCTGTGGCCAAATTTTCTTGGGGGCATGTTGGTCTAATCTCCAAGCAGATCTTTTGGTGTCTGTAAGAACGGTACCAAATTGGCCAGGCTGTTACGTAATGCCAGGCCAGGTAGTCACCATTTCACAGGGGTAAAATTACCAGTACAAGAAAGAAAGCTCGATAAAACACCTAAAAACACGTCAAAAATTAGCCGAAGCCTAAACCTCTGCTTGGAGAGTGATAATATAGGCCCAGGAGCCGAGGATCTGGCCAATGTACGCCCACTGTCACCCTGGAAACAGTCCGGCATCCAGACTATAGATTTTATTCCAAACGGACGAGATATGAGCGAGACTATGTAGCGTGCCAAGAACATTGTGGTCAAGTTGGCAAATACTTAAAGACAGCGTGGATTCTTCTTTCAAAAATACTAAAAATAGTATTTGATGCATGAGTCTGGATTGAAGAGGTTGGCTACAGACCATTTGGCAAACCACAAACTGACTTCCATATATCTAATATTAATAGCTGTTCAAAACTTAGAAGGGAGGCTGTATGTGTATAGCCTCTATCACTAGAGTATCAGGCTTCGAGAAGCGGCTGGAAAGTGCACGTGAGTATAGTTTGTCGCTAGGGAGTGGAAACACTTCAAACAGGCTTCGGGAACAGTAAACTGTACTCATTAGCGGACCAACTACCCTGGCATGTTATCTGTCTATTTGGCCAGTTTCTACTCTTTTCAGCCGCCCCGAAGCCTGGTAGAGGCTATGTACGTGTGTCCAAGGAGGTTAGAACTCCCTACTAACCTCCTAGGTGTGTCTGATTCCTTCTGACGTACCTCCCAGTGCGGACATCTGTTTTGACACTTTCGGGGCAGGAGAATGTTCCTGGTTAAGACTGGGGCGTGATCTGGGAATGATCACCAACGATGTCGTTGTGTGCTTCTAATTATTCTTCACTCTGGTTTCCCTATAAATCCTCTCAACATCTTGGCTTGTGGAGCTAGTTATTCTGTGGGGTGATTTCTTTTATAGTCACCTCTCTGGTTTACTGTTAGCCTCCACCAGGCCCTCCTAAGGTTATTGACAGAAAAGTGAACCCACGGGAAGGGTTAACCCCTACCAGGCTTCAGAAGAGTTGAAATTGGCCAGGCCAAATAAGAGACAATACATGTAATAGACAAATAACATGCCAGGGGAGTTGGTCCGCCAAAGGAGTACAATTTCATGAGTTTGTCGCTATTAAGTGAACTTAATCCCATGGCACGTTATCTGCCTATTTGGCCAATTTCTACTCTTTCCAGTCGCTTCTGAAACCTGGTAGAGGTTTGAAAAGGATATGAAGGGGCGGGCAGATGAAACCACATGGTGGCTAAACTCCCCTAGCAAATTGTTCTCCCGAGTTGGCTTTAAATTATTGGCCAGCGTAGCTTTAAAGTCATGGTGAAAACTACTAGTAGTTTACTGGGTTGATAAACGGGGTTATACTAGCCATAACGTTAT